GCTATGATAGACATGGCGTAACAGGAAGTTATGTACCGGGCGATTCCAGTCCCTGGCGAACTGGTCCCACGACACGCTGTTCCACCAAGCATCGTAGAATGTCCGGTCGGCGAAGTATGTCACCTCAGCCAAGAAGTTGAGGATGGTCTCCCATATGAGGTACCAAGAGAGCAAGTACTCGATCATGAAGGGGAAGAGGAGGTCGCTCAGCATCCAAGGAAAAGCCTGGAAGCGTTGGGACAGCGGCATTCCGGCGTCTTTCATGGCTACTGTCTCCATGACGACGGGATAGATGAAAGCTTGAGAGATCATAATCATGACGAAAATGATGCCAAAGCATGCGGCAAACTTCTCCGCTGCGTAACGCCAGTTGATCGAGTCCGAACGTGGATAGCCGAGTTCGTATACCACTGTGGGAAGAACGATGTACTCGTAGTGGTTTGTGAAGGTAAGGTTGAAAGGGTAGGCTCGGTCAGGCTCGGCGGCTTTGCCTTTGAGCTCATCCGTCAAAGCGTCTATTTCCCATTTGATCATGCGCTCGAAGACGTGGACCTGTTCGTGGTCCAGTGGGCTCCCAGAGTCGATGGCAGCAGCGATCTTGTCGAGGTCATCGGCTGTCTTCTCATACTCCACAATCGACAGACGGCGTTCTTTAATATGGGTAGCCGATGGTATCTTTGACAGATGGTCGGTAGAGAGCGTAGATGGGGTGGGCTCCGTTTGCGAAGGCGTCTGAACCGGTGAGATATAGTCCAGCTGCTTCAGTGTCTCCAGTAAAGCGGCTCGTTTTCTGTAGGCTGTAGAAAGATGACCATTGTAGAAGGCATAAGAGTGCTGCTTCATCAACATGACCAGGCCATGCATCACAAAGAAGACGGTGTGCGTCCATGGCCAATCCCTGACGAGCGTGAGACCAACGACGCCACCAATGAAGACGGTTTGCCAGAGCTAATAGTAAAGGTTAGTCTACAACTCGCAACACTGATCAACATGAAGGAACATACGTTTTGTAAGATCCATCCAGCTCCGTCCCAGTTGATATAGCCCGCTAGTATGAGGCGCTGCAAGAGCCAACTGACCCCAGTCAACGCACACATGACTCCATCAGCAATGAGAAGCACCAGCAGATCCCTCTGGAACATGGTCTGCAGTATCTCGTTGGTTCCCAACGGGCTACCCAATCTCCTCCAGTTCTCAGCCCCAATCTTGACGATCCAGAAGAACATGGCCATCCAAAACAGGGTGAAAAAGCCATGGAACGGGCTATTGGCCGCATCAACATTACGTCCATCGAAAGTCGAGAACTTCTTGGTAAAGACAAGGTCGCTGAACTTCGCGCGGGTCTTGTTCTTGCCGGAGACGTCCTTGGCTCGAAGCATCCCACGTCTAAGTATCTCGCGGAGTTCGGCATCGTCTGCTCTGAACTGTAGTGGGTTGGCCTGTTTTCCGGTCAGGGCATCGTAGCTGGCGGCCCTTCCCATGCCCGATCTGGCACTGTTCTTGATAGCTTCCAGCGGGACATTTCCGACAAGAGGAGCTGGTTTCCGTCTCCTGCTGGTTGTTGGCGGGCGGGTCAGCTCATCGTAGTCTTCCACACTTGTCTGGCTTTCCGTTGGAGATGGGGGCATAGTGTGGGGTTGTGAGCCAGGAGGTGTCATGATGTTCGAGCTTCCATGATCCTCCTCTACGGACATCTTGACGTTTTGCTTGTATGTTGGTGGCGTGTGGTTTATGTTCAGGGAACTAATGTAACAAGTTTTACGTCGCGACTACACGCGTATTACATGGTCATGACCAAAACCCCGATGCCAATCTTGCTCTTTAAATTACTTATAAATCGTCCATGAGAAACAACATGAGCGGCATCTCGGGGTCATTTGTCGGGCGATGACGGTACGTTGAGTCCGACAGAACCGATACTGCTGAACAAAGATCAGCAAGCCGAGGCGAAACAGAGCATCCGAATAAGCCGGACTAAGTAAGTACTTCGTCAGGCGAGAGAGAGCGATTCGCGAGGTGCCCGTGAGCCGAGAACAAGCACCAATTAAGTCAACTACAAAGCTATCTTACAATGAAGTCACGGTGTCTGCAGAGTCACTCATCACTGAACATGCGAAAGTAATCATGCCTGGATAGTCTGGGGCGCCGCAATACTGATGCCCAATGGATCAGGATCTGTAACTGTAGGGTACGTAGATACTGTCTTCAAGATGCTTGGCGAGGTCCACCTTGCAAGTCGGTCATCGGTCGTCGGGCCATAAGAGTGACTGAAACGCGCTTCCCCGCGGTTTTGCTGTATTTCACCGCCCGACGTGACACTGTCGGGTTCATTGCGTCAGTGAGGTACCTTTGGGAGGAGAGCTCTGGCCAGCCAACTTTCGGGCCCTACCACATTCGAAAGACTGAAGATGAGCGGCATAATAGAGGCCATACATGTGTATGACGAACGAAAGTAAGTTGTGAAGATACCCGCTCCAACCATGTTTTGTTTCGCAGCCTAACATTTCCTAAAGCAGCCCAGTCCTTTCTCACACTTACACAGGACGTCCCCTATCCGCGAACCAACTCCTACCTCTGTATCTAGACCATCCCGCCCCACGCCCCAGCCTCATATATCTACCCAACACGAATCCGCAGACGTTGGTCTTTAGCTTGACCCACGCGAACCTGCTATTCCTCTTGACGACCTCGTCCGAGATCGAGCCGTTGCTCGCGCTCGAGTTTCTGCATCGGGTGGTCGATGTTCTCGAAGACTTCCTTGGCGGCCCGGTGCTGCCACATAAGTTAGAAAGCAACTATGATGTGGTGGCACAACTCCTCACAGAGATGTGCGACGCCGGTACCGTTGCCACAACAGAACCGAATGCGCTCAGAGATCTGGTGGAAGTGGAGGGGTTGATGGGGAAGTTGCTCGGAAATCTGAACCTACCTAGGTATGGGGACAGCTGTATCGATCTCCATATTCCAGCCACAGGACTGACAAGCACGAACAAGCAGCAAAAACCAATTCACCAGCTCCGGCGCACCCAATATCATAACGACGAATACGCCCGCCCTCCCGTGGCGCCGAGCCAATGTCCGACATACCTCCAACGAGATGTACGCCGATGTAGTCGAGACGTTGACCGTCACCCTTGCGCCATCTGGGCGGCCGCTCGCCGCGTTCGCGAACGGCTCAATAGCCTTTACGTGCAAAGTATCCGGTGTACCAGATATAATCATGACGCTTACAGGACCATCGGGCAAACACAATCTAGGCTCCATCATGGACCTGCCAGTCTTCCATCCGTGTGTACGGTTAGCAAGATGGAAAGAGCGGCCCGGCGAGCTAAGTTTTATACCGCCAGATGGAAGGTTTCTGTTGGCCGGCTATGAGGTGGATTTATTGCCATCATATGATGGGAAGGGAGGATATGGAGTGAACAACCTGAAGTTGCCGGTGAGCTTAGAGGTGAAGACAGGACTGGGCTCGCTGGGATCCGACTTTGAGGTGCGGTTAAACGTGAACAGAGTGTTTGGACCGGGAGGAAGTTCCGTGTCCAGTAGTGGCTATGGAAGAGGCGGTGCTGGGCCGGGGGCTCCCAGAGCGTTTGGTGGTGGCCCGACCCCCGGAACACAAGCATCGCCGTCGCTGGAGGACGTCAGAGTCACGGTGCCGTTACCCGGAGATGTGCGGACTCTGAGCGAGATCAGACCGACCAAAGGGGATGTGTCTTACAACCCGGGTGACAAAGCACTGGAGTGGCTTATATCTACCAAGGACCTTGCGGCGAGCTCTTACTTCAGCTTGAGGTGCACCGTTGCCGGACCACTGGCAGAAGACGACGAAGAGTCCAGCAGCGATCCTACTGGGTTCGGCTTCAACGGGATCGGCGAATACTCCTACGATGAACCTTACCAAGCAGAAACGAATAAGAAGGAGGAGAAGGTGACGACGGCTATCACAGACAAGGAGAAAAATGGACGGAGGACGGCACAGAACAAGATACTGATGCCCAGCTCGGCTGCGGTTAGCTTCTCTGTCAAGGGTTGGTTGCCGAGTGGCATCAAAGTCGAGAGCATAAATGTCGACCCGAGGAAGAGCAGAGGGTTGGGTGAAGGTGTCAAGCCGTATAAGGGCGTCAAGTACTTGACTATCAGCAAGGGAGGTGTCGAGATACGCTGCTGAGTAGTTGTGCAGCTGCGACCTGGTTTTTGAAACCCGTCATGGGCCTGTGAGACATGACAATGCCAAGTAAGAATACTCACATTTGTGACGTCCCATGTACAGAGAAGACTGTTGGAGTAGTCTAGACGTGAGCTACCTAGGAAGAGACCAGACCAGCACGAATGCTTGTCTTGCTATGCTAACTCGCGATCCTCCGAATCAGCTGTCGAGCCATGTTTCTCTGACGAGTTGGATCAGAAGAGTCTTGTTTCGCAACAACCGCCGAGAGTGGTATAGGGACAAGTTCACCAGGCAATAGGGTGCAGTAGGCATGGCAAAAAGAAACGGCCGATCCGAGTCTTGTCTATTCAAGGCCTCCCTTGTAACTGACGCCATGCCTGATGAGGTGAAAATCCAGGACAACTCTAGCCAGAGCCTGACAGGTCCTGAGTTTTTTTTTTTTGGTCAAGGACTTGATGAATCCCGTGTCACCTGGCTGCCACGTACTGGGAAGTGGTTCAGCCGGAAAAGGAGGCATAGCAAGATGGAAGAATGGGAGCTTCATGTAGTCATGACCTGACTTGACATTGTTGAACAGGACGAGTCAAATAATATGCATCAGGCAGTTCATGAAGGGAAAGACAATCCCTCGGGGTCCTGTCCGGGAAGCAAGCAGTTATGAGCCACCAAGTGTTTTCACTCTACGTGCCTTTAGCTGTGAGGACTTGTGCAAGTCCAGTACGTGACGCTCAGTGTAGGTTGTGTGTACCACACACCCAATAAACAAAAGCTCGACAAGAAAGAAAAAATGTCTTTCTGTCCCTGAGGACAGGAGATACTGTGATGGCTATGCAGCCCCCGGCGAGACTCGAACTCGCAATCTTAAGATATCACCAGAGTCAACCTTTGTTGGAGACACGATAGAAGTCTTACGCCTTAGCCAATTAGGCCACGGGGGCTCTGTAATTGCTATGAGCATGGTTTGAATTCTCCTTGTTCGTATAGAATGGTGCGGAGAAGCCGGATGGAGTCGGGGCTGGCTTGAGTCATGCGTGCCCGAAATGTCTGACGGAAACAGGCTCGGAGGTCTTATCGCTTATCAGGAATATCGGGACCATATCATGTGTGCTTCGGAGTACAACGGATCAAAACAGAAGAGCCCTTCAACGGTACCGCTCGACGTTTAGTCCTGAAGCAGTGGCAAGATCGAGGTTGCAAACACAAGGTCTCCTGGTTTTGATGTATTTGTGCCTGTTTACCTACGGTAGGACTGCTCCGTGCTGTAGACGATCGATCGAGGATCGACTGTCGGCTTCCTCATGTTGAGCTGTCAGGACATCGGCAGCCATGCAAGGCGCCTTGAAAGCCGAGCACCATCTAGGATGACTTGTGCTTGCCTTGGTGAGACGCGATCATTCTTGCGAACGGTCTGAGAAACGGAAGTAGTCATCGTCTTGGCGCCTAAGTGATATCAGCACACAAACATCAATCGGTCACCTTGACACAACAAATAAGCATATGATATTAGCGGGATGTGAGCTGACACGAGATCCATACGGATGCTGCACACGATACGGCTATGTCTGACGATGGCAGCATGACGTCCTTTGGATGCCGGTTGATCTCGTGGTAGAGATCCGAGCCATGTACCAGTACACCGAGTCTGTCTTCTTTTCTGGTTTCCACATTTGGATATCAGGGTAGCGCCGGCGTCAACTGTTCTTCATACCTCTGCACTTGGGTGAGAACGAGAGGCCATCGTCATTCCACAGACGCGGTCCATTGTGTCATATAGTTGAGTCAGTGGAGGGGTGAAGCGCTGGCGCCCGGGACAAACGTTGACGCTGAGCATAGACGCAAGAGCGCGTAGAACCTGCGAGCAGGGCGCTTAGCTACCAAAGCAACCTTGCACCAGAGTTGGTGAGCAGCAAATGTTGAAGCTGGAAAGTGAGCAGATACACCCATAATGTTTCTGTGAACAAATAGCGGACGTCTCAGACCTTTCGACTGCCGCATTACAGGATAGCCGTGTTATTGGGTGTTGGCCTGTACGCATGTCGTCTCGATAGACTCGCAGCAGCCTCCTCAGATCCCGCATGCGGCTGCTATCCCAAAATAGAGGCATCATCTCCCAAAATAGCCCGGAAGAGGTGACGGTGTGTGGTCAGCATCACACGCCCCTCTGCCAACCGCACGTGGAAAGACCCTTGCGTCGCCCGCCTGCTCGGAACAAGTTGTATCCAGAAACGCCATAGTAGCCTTCCAGTAGTTCCAACCCTGGATCAGCTAGCGGCAACAGGCACCAGGGACATGGGAAGGGAATGTGACAGAAGCCGATGACTTGCATTGTAGCGACTAAGTAGGCGCCGTTGTACGGAGGGACTGGGAGAGACCCGATTGTCAGTGTCGCGAGGCGCTCGGGCATTTTAGGAAGGTCTGGTGACAAAGGTACCGCGGCCGGTGGGAATGCTCAGGGCTCAAGGTAGAACAGTAGCTGGGCAATGCATGACTAGCTCGGGTAGAGGAAGAAGAAGCACGGCGTGTCGCCGGCTAGGTGGTGACTGCGCGGACACTGTAGGCAAATGACGTGCATGGGACCGAGAGACTGGCCAGTAAGAGCCTCAATGGCACGGTGTGAGGATCCGGGAAAGCTTCGCTTGGTACCATAACCCAAAAATAAGCGGCGGAGGGTCCCTTGAGATCGCAGACGACAGGGTCCCTCACCCTGTAGGGCGTCGACAATGCTTGCGAGGCAATCCAGCTGTGAACGGTGCAACTCAGCGCCGATGTCTTCGATGAGGTAGATCCGGTGTCGTCAGCCAGAGGAGAGAGGCGCCAAATGGTTGAGGTCCGGCGGCAAGCAGAGCGGCTAACTCAGCGGTTGCACCCGCCTTCTCATTGGCTGAATGCATCCTTCGGGTTTCAGATTTCCCCAAGACGTCGCTGTCTGTTGACTGGACGTAAACATGGCAAATGAACACTGAGCTCAAAGCAGAGGTTGTAGGAGTATCTCGTGTGTGGCAAGCATCAGGATAGCGATATGTACACCTGTTGAAATGTGCTCCGCAACACAGGGATGGTTCCGAGTCGCGGGAGTATGCCTACATACGTTGATTTGGCGAGGTCTAGATCCCAAGGTACTCGCGGCTGTGCGAACGTTGGAGAAGCGAGGCATGGAATTTCTATACATTGTACAGATTCATGAAGAGTCCTCGTTGCTAGCAACACGCTTGATCCAATGTTACGACTTTGCCGCGTAGAGGGCACTACAGGACAATCCCTGAATGATTGTGAGCGCAATATTTGGAACCAGGGTCCCTGTAAGCCAAAAATGAGCATTCTGGCTATTCAGAAGACGCGTTCAAGAGTTAACCAAAGTCACTCCCGTGCTGCGCAGAGGGGTCTTTTAGATCGCGTGCTGACTAACGATCCTGCGTGAAAACGGTGTTCTGCCCACTAATCGCATCACTTACAGTGTTTCTACACGCGATCCTTGGCGGGAATATTGCTTTACACGGTAAGAGCGTCTTTAAAAACCGGGGTCTGGCGCTGAGGTCAGCGTTCAAGACCCCGCTTCCGACGCCAGCGCCTTACCGTATCCAGACAGGCGAGATGAATCCTAAGCCACAATCTCCTACCCTGGCCTCTACCAACTGATATAAAAGGCTCTACCCACCCTTGCCGTTAGAGAATACGTCTCTGATTATTGGCTTCCCCTCTAATCCCAGCGGCTCGTACCCGTGGGGCTTGTACTAAGGTAACAAACAAACAGGGATGATAGTGTACCACGAATAATGTAGTTTGCTTTAGTGGTCGATTTGTTGTTGTGTGAAAGGTGTCCCTGCACGGCCATCGACCGTTTTCTACCGGTATCAAAAATGGAGGGTATGAGTGGAGCCGTACACGGGTGGAGCCCGAGCCTACAGGTACGGTACGCACTAACCCGAGACACACCTCCAGTCAGGCAGCTACAGCCGAGGAGTGTCTTGCAGGAAATTCGACTATCAACCACGATTATTCAGGATGGAAGCTGGGCATCACATCCCCATTTTCGGTGCTAGACCAGTTGGCAAGTGACGGATGCAAAGAGTCACTGGATAGAGCTACTACTAGTACTGTAGGATGAGGCCTCTCTCACGCCTCTCAGCCCGTTGTTAGTGTAGTCAACGTAGCAGGAGGCCACACTCTCGGGTGCGGCTACCGATAGCGTTTAACGGACTGCCTGTTGTCACAACCAGTCACGGGGTACCTTACTGCCTACCCCTCCTCTGCTGGTACTTCCGTGTTGATTAGAAATGCCAGCAACAGTCGGCCAAAATGATGTCCCGGTTGATAAATTGTATTGGTGGATCCCCTCTGTTAAACGCAGCCGAGGCAGGGGCTTATTGGGAGCCAGCGGGTCCCTATGCGACGGCCTTACTGCGTATTAGCATAGGCGCGATCTTGCGCATTACGACGCCCGGTGTGGCACCCTCGCCGGTCGAAATTCCGCCCAAAAAAGAACTCGAGGCGCACTGAACCGCGCTGTGATTCCGCTCTGCCAACAAGTTGTTTGATTAGTAGCATGGACAGTCGACCCTCACCGGCCTGAACATGGATTGATGCAAAGCTGCGGAGCGTCCTGATGGACCACAACTACTGCGTATGTGACAGAAGAGCCCTCCTGCAGTCACACAATCTCCTGCCGTCTTCTTTCTTGATCAGAGGGCAATAAGCAAATCGGTACATCGCCAAGGCTTCGGAAAACATCTCCATCGCGAACCGATGCGATCAGCCGCTACAAACGGTAGAGCATATATCGACACTGCCTACACGTTCACTCATATGGGGGACTGATGAAGTCTGTTAACCTTTTGTATGATCCAAGACCATCGTGAGTTTTCCATCCATGTCCGGCTGATGCTGCTTAGGAAGCTGCTAGATGAGATACCGGTATACTCGTTACGTCCCATCCATATCGGAGCTATGTGCACCTAATGGGGAAGCAAGTTTCTGAGATTCGTAGGTGCGTTATGGCGGAAGTCAGTACATGCACATTATTCGTACGATGACCGTGGTTGAAGCAATGTTGGTGGAGTCTAATTTTATCTCGGCTCGCCTACCGCAGCTAATCACATCGCACGTCAGCCCAACGCGGTAGTCCGGAGGTCAACCGAACAAACTTCTCCAACCAGCCTTGACAGAACAGTGCTGGTTTGGACACCTCAGCCAGGTCACCGGACGCCGCTGTTCCTTACATTGCAGTGTAGGTTTGTCGTTGACTGTTGAGTCCCCGCTGCTCTCTGCCCTACCACTATGAAGACTGCGACATGTCATACCTCCGGAAAGTGCGCATGGTCACGTACCGCAGTATGGCACGTTCCATGAACTGGTATGTTATATTAGAAGTGACTGGGGATTGGCCTCGGCAAGGATGTCATTTCGGGCAGGTTGCCTTCTGCAGAACGGGACAATCGAAGGGCTAGCGCGCTGACTTTTGTTCCAGTAGCCTGTACGGAGCCTAGCCCGTTCGACACAGGCACAGAGCAAGAGCGTACATGCAGAGTCGACCTCCGCACAAAGCCGTTCCATCGGCAACGGACCAACGAGGATGCCGCGATTGACTCGCGCTCGAAAACAGCAGCAGTCGCAGCCGGCAAAATCTCTGTCAGGGTTCTCAGGAGAGCGATACGAGACATTCTGTGACAGTAGTGAGCTGATGCGTTAGCTGCTACGAATCGGTTTATGAAGATGCGGCACCCGCAACAACTGCTTCTTCACTAGTGAGAAGCTAAGCGTCCACACGCCCCGCGTCAACCTGCAACTCACTTACACACCCCCTCGGCAGTAGCGTCTTATTGGCTGTGGTGCTATTGGAGAGTTGCACTCCGGCACTGCACAGTGCAACACATTTTTGCAACCAGCTCAGTACGAAAGTAACCTGCTTCTCCGGGCATTGATATTTCGGTGGCGGGGTGCT